TATATATATAAAAATGTAAAATACATTTAGATATAGATATATAGATATATATATTCGTTTATAGAAAGCTAGATTTTACTTCAGTGTCACTTCAGTGAACTGAGCCATTTTCACCCATTTTCGTGGAACTAAGAGAAAAATATTGATTCAGAATACTTAGGGTGGCAGTAAAATAGTGTAATAGTGTGGGAAGAATAATATGCAAATTGTAATAGCGACTGTTATTGCAGGGGACTACAATAATTAAAAAAACAGTAGTGTTGACTTGTATCCTAAGAAGTTATGTTTCTCTGGCACAGGAAGTAGATGCCACAAAGTTCTAGGTTTTTATCAAAAGAGAAGATCCGAGTTCAGCCTGTCTCTTCAAAGTGTTTGGTTTTGCTAAATAAGTGTTTTTACTTGCTGAGGACCTTGAGAAACTTTAACTTAGTTTTAGGTCTGTTTACCCTTAGGTTGTGAAATAGGATAAGGTGTGATGCAGTACTTTATCAGAAAACAAAACAGTTAAAGAGTTTATTTATTGTCACAGGTAATTAAACTTATTACCTATTTCTATTTAATAGTGTGTTTAACTTTTGTGTCACTAATAAGAACACTGCTTGTAGAGTATAAGTAGTACTCAGCAAGTCCAGTCTTGCATCTTTCCAGAGCGCTTTGCTACATCAGGGCCTGATACTGTATCTTTTATGGATCATATATAATGTATGAAGTTATTAGAAATGCCTGATTTGTAAATCAAAACTATCTAAAGTATCTATTTATATTTAAAACTTTTAAGTCATTGTTTTGAACAGTATTGCTTTTTTTTTTTCAATGAGTGATAATTAATGTGATAATTCTGTTTTTCATTTGGAGTAATTTGTTACCTTCCAATCAAAAAGGTGCTATGTGACATATAATAAGTCTAATTTATTTATCACGTGTGATATGATATGTATTCCCTGGGTAAGGGCCAACACCATTCCATCCAGCACATACATAATGTAATGTTGTGGCATCAGTACCCTTCTGTATTGAAGTATCATGCTGTCCTTATATTTGTCCAAAAATGTTGGTTTTACACATTATTTTAATTCTGCTGTTCTCTAAGTCAGCTTTGAGAGAGTAGTAGGATTATATGTCAAAGAGAGGTCTGTACGTTTGTATCTTGTACATGAATATTGTACCAGGGAGGATAGTGCACTCAATTTCTAGTGATGTATTAAAAATTTAGGAGATTAACTTTTCAGTGTAGAACTCCTGACTTCTATTATCTCCTGAAATATTTAGATTTTTGAAATGCTGTCCTTAAATAATTTTAAAATATTCTTATTTGCAAATCAGTATTGTGTTTTCCTATCTGCAGTCCAAATTACAGGACCATTAGGATCTATGTCCCTGAAACCGTAACCAGGCAGTCTTCCATGGCACTTCAGATTAACTGAAATGTTTGCTGTGGCATCTCTCAGGTGCCCAATTCATTTGTTACTCTTCATCTGTAGACTACAGTAGGGTTGTGATTTGACAGCTTCGCATAGTGGAGGATTTGAATGCTTTACTGCTGTCCTGAATTAGGATGCTGTGGCTCTCTAAGTATGCACCCATCTCCAGTTGACTGTTGATTTTTCCTTTTGTAAATTATCCTGAAAAGCTGCAAAAATGCTTAATTTACCTCACTTAGTTGAAATATTGCTGGTTTTTATAGATCTGCCAAAAGACAATGGAGGAGCAGCAATAAATACGTATGTTGTGGAAATGTCTGAAGGCTTAAATGGTAAGTATCAGGAGTGTATGTTGTCATTCAGCTGTGTTCTTTTGTGTTTGTGTGTGCCTGTGGGAAGAGTAAAGTGAGTATTATGATAGGGAAAGTTATTGCAAAGGATTGCCAGTAAAAAAATAGAGATGTTAATACTTGTATACAAGAGGTTCTTTTTCTCTGGCTTAGAAAGAAGATGCCATAAAACTTGAATGTCAAAACAGATGGTCTGTGATTTAACCTATTGCTTAGGTGTATTCGGGTTTGGAAATGAAATTACACACTTCAGACATTTTAGGGCAAGAAGACAGGGCCACATAGCTTTGTTGGAAGTGTGGCAGATGAAGGAATAAATAGTGCTCCATTTATCATTATTAAAGTAGAATAGCGATGCAGTTGGGATAACTATTTCTGCTGTTTGCTTTTCATTCATACACAAGGGAAATCAACAATATTTCTAAACTGAGCATAAAGCTATCCAACTAAGTTATTTAAAAATCTAGACCTCTTAAGTATCTTAAATTCACAAACATAGTCACATTGAGAATGCAAGTTTATACTTCTCCAGTGCTATGTCATATGAAGACAGCTCACTGTCTACAAATCATAATGGCAGCCTTTTCAGGAGCCTCAGCTGTGGCTCTTTTGATACTTAGTCTGTCACTTTCCTTACTCTGTCATGTGTCCACATTAAGTCAGTTTTGGAATTATTTACTCAAGCTTTGCATTACGTTTCATTCCCAGTTCTCTGAATTCTGTGATGTATTGAGTTGTTGGAGATTTAACTAAAAGTCAACAAGTTCCCTGCTTAATCTCTTAAAAAAAGAGAGAGAATGCTAAAGAGTTTCTTATTTTAGAATCTGGCTGAACAGCAAAGAATGAAATCAGTATTTCAGATGGTCCTGGGCCATTCATGAATACAGGAACAAGCTTTATCAACTGTAAACTGTAGTTACAGTCTGTAAAATGAATGTTGTAATTAAAAGCTTTTTCCATGGAAATTTTTGCTTTTGTATCTTTCCTATTTATTTGGTTATAATGTTTGAATGTGCTTGATGGCCCAGTAATAACTACTTCATTAAAAGTAAATTCTCTCCTAGTTAATATGAATACCAAATAAGGAAGATATTTCACTTGAACAGATCTACAGAAATTTACCTAGGAAACTCTCTTTATGGAATTATTAGATCTTTTCAAAGCAAGCCTTATTTTTTTTTTATAAACATTATTCACACACTTATTTAGTAAAGCTAGGATATCTGCTGTGACTGGTACTAAAGTGTGGCAAATTACATCTTGGTTCATTGTGCACTTATTCTTAACCTTTCAGGAAACAAATGGGACACAATATATAGTGGAGCTGCTAGGGAACATGTGTGTGACCGGCTAAATCCTGGCTGTTCCTATCGCTTACGTGTATATTGTGTTGGGGAAGGTGGACAAAGCACGGTAATATGAGCTAATATTTTTATTAAATAACATTTCTCTCTCTTTAAGAAAATCTGGTCCAGTAGTTAATAAGCAAATATTGTACAGAAGTGCCTAACAGAATAGCTGTAATTAGTACCTCAAGTTTCCAGTATTGATGCACAATGTTTCAAGTTGCTGCCCATTTCTTAAAGAAACAAATGTGAATATTCTTTGCCGATACTGTATTTTGTTTAAAGCAATTTTTCTTATTTACAGAAACAGGTATTAAGTCTTTTCCTGTGTGATATGTTGATAGAATGTCATTTCTTTAGGCCTAACCCAAGACAGCAGTGTAAATTTAATGTTTTCCATGGAATCAGTGGAATACCCTGTCTGAGCAGCCAAGCCAGCCCAGCAGGCAGGGGAGGAAGCAGTGTTTCCTCAGGCTTTACAGGGCTGTGCTCCGTAGTCTCTTCCCATGCTTTCTCAGCCACTAGTAGTATGCCCAGACAATTTGGTGTGCTGTACTATGCTCCCCCATATATAGATATTACCTACACACACAGTTGCACTGTCTCTTCTGTGGTGTAGTTCAGCCTCCAGTGCCAACACACCATGCTGTTTTCTTCTCCCTTCTTCCCAGCAGCAAGTGTAACAAAGCCAGCCCAGGCTCTCTACAGACTTTAAGCAGGGCTTAACTGTCAGGCTGATCTGAAAATCTCTAAGCCTTGCGTTCTTGGTGTTTGGTTTTTTCCCCAGCCCCCCTTACTATATGAAATTCATGTGTTCTTCCTCTACATAGAAGTCTCCTGCAAAGATAGCCTTACCCACAGCCACTCTGTCTCAAGAACAAATCTGGATTCCTTCAGTGCTGGCTCAGTTGCAATATCTTCCTTCGTGCCATAGCTCAGCTTACTCTTGTAGGGGGGAAAGGGGAAGGCAGTATACTTCCCAGTGGTATGTATGTCTTTGGAGACTTTTGCTCTGACAGCCTCCTTCCCCACAACCCAACTCTGTTAGTTTAGAATAAACATTGAGTACCAAAGAGAAGATAACTTTCAGAAAGTCCTGATATTTTCTGAAGGTGTCAGAAATCAACAGAAGAATACTAAGGAAAGATGTAATAAAACTTTCTGTAGCTTGTCATGGACATATGCCTCCTGAGAAACATTTTGCTTTTTAAGTAGCATCTGTTGTTCAGGGTAACAGCACATGTCAAAGGAACTGAAAAGCAACAGTTTCCAATCTGCTCTTTCTGGAACATGTAGAAAGCAGTTGTGAAATGAGACTCTAAGATGCTTCTCTCTTGTAAACTAAAAGGATTGCCAACTTCCCATTTGTTCCATATCGCACTGAACTTAATAACCATACATTGTCTCCTACTCATTTCTGTATGTGTCCAGAATAGTCAATGCCATCTGCTGCTTGTTGTTATGCTATGTATTTTTGCACACACTTCAAATCAGAGGTGGAAGTTTGTTGCACATTAAGTATTACTAAGCAATGAAAAAGTTGAATTCTCAGTGTTTTTTAATCTCTTCTGATTGACATTTCTGCCCAGTTTTGCTTTCTGAGAGGATCTTGCACAGGAAATACACAACCCTTAGAGTAAGGTTTTAAAAATCATGAAACTGCATTTCAAGCATCTATACTAGGTTTGTACTGATACTTAACCTTAATTCTACCCCTTGCATGTGTACCAAAACACAAAAGCAAAAGTTAGTTTTGCATATTGTGTGATTACTGTAGCATGTTTTATATAGGTATTATAAGAAATACATACCAGATCACTTAAGCATCTTCATGTATTTGAAGATGTAGTTCAAAAAATGGAAGATCCTGTTTCTGATTCAAGTATTTGCCTTTACTTGTGGCATAGTTGATAGGGCTTGTTTTGGCCTAGATTACTTCATTAATCTATCTTTCTTTTGTAGGCATCTGATTCTTTATTGGTGCAGACACCAGCAGTGGATCTGATTCAAGTATTTGCCTTTACTTGTGGCATAGTTGATAGGGCTTGTTTTGGCCTAGATTACTTCATTAATCTATCTTTCTTTTGTAGGCATCTGATTCTTTACTGGTGCAGACACCAGCAGTGGTTCCTGGTCCATGCCAGCCTCCAAGGCTACAGGGGAGACCCAGAGCAAGAGAAGTTCAGCTGCGCTGGGGTAATTCTATTACAACTATTAGTAAGTGTAAGGAATCCAAATGTGTTATGTGTTAAAATTAAATAAGCTTGTCTTTCTTATTTTTAGGACCACCTCAGGTAGATGGTGGCTCACCCATTACCTGTTACGGTCTGGAAATGTTTCAGACAGAAACCGATGAGCACAGAGAGGTTTACCAAGGCTCTGATGTTGAATGCACAGTAGGCAGCCTTCTTCCAGGGAGGACATACAACTTCAGACTGCGAGCAGCTAACAAGGCTGGGGTAAGGAGGCAGTCTGAAATGAAATTAGTTCCAGAGACCGCAGTCACTGTTAAGGATCTTCTCTTCTAAAAGAAGCATTTAACATTAATTTTAAAATGAGGATTTCCTAATGTGGAGTCATTTGATGCACATTGCTTATTGTTGTGTGGGAACAGACAGTTAAACATCATAAAGTGCTTTTTAGATGAAGGGAAGAGAAAAAAGCTATGTATGTCTTATTTCTGAATAATGGCATTTCCTAACTATTTCCCAATGCTAAGTATTTTATCAAAGCTTTGTTGCAACTTTAATATTCTCATGTGAAGTAAGGTAATAAATTATTTTCTTTATACAGCTTTGTAAATTGATTGACTTCTATTTTTACAGCTGCTGATGTTCTAAAACATAATAATAAGCATTTCCTGGCTCTTTTTTATATGTAGTTTAACTTCTGAATACATGTTTTATCAGATATAAGAATATTTTCTCTGGTGTATTAAATGTGTTTAAAGCAATTGTCACTGTAGAACAAGCTTAATTTGGTTATGTATCTAAAGTCTTGATTTAAAGACAGAGAGGGCTGCTTGCATTTGTTCGATAACGTTCTCTTCATAAAAACTATCATGACCAGTTGGCACTGTTTGTGGAGTGGTCTGCAGCTCAAGGCTTTAAAGCACTGACCTAACTTTTTATTTGCCTCCTGCAAAGAGTGGTTTATAGCTGAAGCATTTTCTTAATCCTTTCTTTTAGATAGATAGAAACAGGCAGTTACAAATTGTGTTCTGTTACAGTGCAGCCATCATGTCACTTCAAGGTTTTGGATAGCACTTCCCTGTTTTGCCAGAGAGTTTGAAGTGTAAAATTTATTCTGATTGCATTTGCTGTAGAGAAGAAGAGCCTTGCAGATATTCTGGAGAATAGTGAGATACTGAAATAAATCCTGAATCCACAGTCCGCGAAGATTTGTTTTAGAAGCAAGTAATACAAAGTTTCAGGCTGCCATTATATGTCCCTACTATGGTCAACTGTTACTTAAAAAGTAGTAATTTTATTTTTACAAATTAGTTGTATCAACTTTCTTTTTAAATAGTTTGGACCTTATTCGGAAAAATGTGAAATAACTACAGCACCTGGACCACCAGATCAGTGCAAGCCCCCTCAAGTGGCATGCAGGTCGGCTGCATGTGCTCAGGTGTCGTGGGAGGTAAGAATGCCGCATTACACCTCTCATAACATGATTGTCTTCTACATTTTTTAAGTTAAACTTTAAAATATTAAGTGTATTTTAATCACATTTTTAAACATACTTGCCTGATTATTCAGTACTTGGTGGGTAAAACCTTAAAGTAATTCGTCTGACAGCTGTAAGTTGGCAGCCTGCAAGTACTTGAGATCTTACTTTCTTCTTTTGCTGAAGAGTTTTGCCACAACTGCTGCACTGCGTTTCTGAGTGATGCAGGCTGCTCTTAAAATTTTTCTTTAATGTAGTTATCTTTCCTCAGAGCAGATGTATCCACATAATACAATAGATTATTATGCATTTGCTGTTTTTATAAGCTGATTTAATTGTATATAATTACATCACTAATAATGTAGCAAAAGCTTCACAGACTTCCTACAAACCCGTATTTTGATATCTGATTAAAAAAATGCAATAGATAAAAATTAAGCTTGTAAAAGGAAGATTCTATCTGGGAATACTGTTTAAACACAGCTTTTCAGTGGCTTGAGAGTGAAGTATCTGAGTTACAGAACAGTACAGGAAAAAAAGGCTAAATGGTCTCTGTATTTAAGCAACTGAAATCACAATTACTTTGTATGGAGTAATCTCTGCAGCAGTAAATAATGTTTTTAAAGTATAGGTGACCCAAGAGCAGTAGTGCATTCTGATTTATTTGTAGTGTACTAAACTAAAAATCAGCAAAGAAATGGGAGGATAATGTTCCTGTGAAAATAACAATATAGATGTGGTGAGTTTGGCTGAATTTTTTTCTGTTAGTGAATTTAACTTCTATTTGTATTCATTTTAAAGGTTCCAGTGAGTAATGGAGCTGATGTCACAGAGTATCGACTGGAGTGGGGTGGTGTGGAAGGATGCATGCAGATCTCCTATTGTGGGCCTGGGCTCAACTGTGAAATGAAAGGGCTTTTGCCTGCCACTATATACTATTGCAGAGTTCAGGTAAAGACGTTAAAACTATTGTTAGTGAAATCTGGAAGCGGGAATTGACCCTGCAGTAAAAACATGGTCTGCTTTGCTTTTGCAGGCAGTGAATGTTGCAGGTGCAGGCCCTTTCAGTGAAGTAGTGGCATGTATGACTCCAGCCTCTGTACCTGCAGTTGTGACTTGTCTTCGGGGACTAAGTGAAGATGAAGTTGAAAGTCCACACTATTCTCCTTCCACATGCCTTGCTATAAGCTGGGAAAAACCTTGTGACCATGGATCTGAAATCCTTGGCTACAGCATAGACTTTGGAGACAAGCAGCCGATAACTGTTGGGAAGGTTCTCAGCTATTTTATAGATGGCCTACAGCCAGATACTACCTACAGGTATTGCCATGCACAGTTACTTGACAGCCTCCTGTTTCTTCCACAGGAGCAGATTCTTTATTTGTTTGTTTCCTTATATTTCTTTGTTCTCTGCATGACTCTCGGAGAAGTATTAGTACATAGCTACGGAGGAAAAGGAAGCTTTGTAATGATAATCTTATTTTCTTTCAAGAACAATTTATTTTAGTATGTTTATTGCTGCAGATCTGTTGAATGTTGAATGGGACTGTGTAATGTGTCAGCTTAACTGAATTCAGGTTACAGTTTCAGATTCATAACTGTGTACTGGACTGGTTGCTTCATAGATAGATGGCCTCTAATCTGTTGGAGAAGATAAAATACATCAAAGGAAGGACTATGTCCAGTCTTTATTGACTGGTTTGTCTAATCTAATGACAGCTCATCACAACTTGCAATGCCTTTTCTGCAGAAATAGCAAGTGTTTGGGTGGCAGTCAGCATGAAGAATATCGGTTTGAAAATCTGTCGATCAATTTTAAATCTCTTTAGAAGAATCTTAGTTACTAAAATCATCCCTTAAATTTGGCTTAAGGGTTAATGAAAAACAGAAATGTAAAAATCAGTAATTCTGCCTGGAGGCACTCTACAGTCCTGTTACAAAACATATCCTCAGTGTTAAAGAGGAATGTCAGTCCCCCTAAAGTCAGAATTTAAGCCCACACTGATTTCAGTACACTTAGGATAGCATCTGGCTATGCAGTTTTCTGAATTCTTAAAAATTTGTTTTTACTTTTTTAATGCTGTATGCAAGATTACAATGTCTGTGCCTTATAAGTATTTCGTAATAATGCTGGCAGTTTGAAGAGCTGTTTCCCTCTGTGTCAACAAACTGAAAAAAAGAGAAGCTTCTATTGCAGAGATACTTCTGTACTTCTACCCACAAAAGTGCTTTTATAGAATACGCTGTCAACTCCTTCTGCAAATAAAAAAATTGTGTATATTAACCTTAGTTCTGTGCTATAATAAATTAGCATAATGTTAAATATTACTGTAGTGAAGGAGAAATACTTATTCATAAGCCTGCACACACATTTGTCTTTCAATATTTTGAAATTGTGTGGTTGATTGTTTCAGAATTTAATTATTGTGATTACGTTTTTCAGTTACCTAGATACTATTTTAGACAAGTAAATGTTAGTCTGCAAAATTAGATTAGACACACTTTGCTCTCTGTGGCTACCTGTGAGGTGTGTAAAGAGCCTCAGATTTCTGTTTTCTGTTTTTTCCTTTTTAGAAATAAATTTCTTGGCTAATTCTTTTAATTCTTACTTGTAAACCTAATGCCAGCATTGTTTTCCATGTAGTATCAAAAAAAAAAAAAAATTATCCCTGAATTTCAAGTTTACAAACCCCACAGCCATGTGTCCTTTGCTGGTTTCCCACTCTCCCTTGCCAAGCAGGCCCAAGATGGCTTGTGTTTGCAGGTACCTAGAGATGTGTTACCCATGAAACAGCAAGAGAGGTAGCTGGGCACCATCACTTTATTTTCACATCAGTTGTATCTGTTCCAAAAAGCCCGTAAAGCTTCCCTGTATTCATCCTTGAACTCAGCTGATATAATAGCCAAAGATCCCTCTTTTGGGGGAATGGGGTTCTTTTCCCTTCCCTTATCGCTCCACTGTGGCTATCAAAAATTTTGCTACAAGGCCTGCAGGGTCAGGAAGATGGACTGCTCTTGAAGTAGCTGATAGAGCTTTTGCATCTTTTCCCTAATGTGAATGATGCAAATATGCTAATGTATTTTTATTTTCAATCAATCCAGCTTCTTAAAATGTGGCAAGGAAAGTGACACTCCTGCTTATTCATGACAGTCTATCAAGATATAATATTGATAAGTCTTCATTGCAGAAAGTACCACCTATTTGGTACCATTATTCTCTCTTGAATGTGAATGGTTGAAATTACGGGTTATTTTTTAGAATCTAATTTCAAATTAATTTATTTGCTCTTTTTTTCAAACACTAGAGTACGAATTCAAGCCCTAAACAGTCTCGGAGCAGGTCCTTTCAGCCACACCATAAAACTGAAAACAAAGCCTCTCCCTCCGGATCCACCTCGCCTGGAATGTGCTGCATACAGTTCTCAGACTCTCAAGCTGAAGTGGGGAGAGGGAACTGCAAAAGCATTAACTGACTCCATTCAGTACCACCTTCAAATGGAGGATAAGAATGGAAGGTTGGTTTTGGCATCACTTTAACCTGCCCCATATCACTGTGGTCTGACGCTTGGGAGGTGGCAGCAAAGGGCAAAAATTCCGTGTACTTTGCTGAATCTACAACAGACATAGGAGGTCATCTCATCTGTCAAGGCAAGAAGGTCTTTAGGGTTCCATGCTGCAAAGACAAGATTAAAAGCTTTATAGTTTTTTATTTACAGTTCAATATGAAGAGTTTAATGAAATGTTTTGTACCAGCACACTTTTTCTCTCTCATGTCTGTATAAGTATTTTTGTCAAAGTATCAAGTCTAATCAGTCGTGAGGATTTTATATGCTTGATATGGGAAGGGATGAATTCTTTGTCTTCATATGCAATTATTTTTAGTGGAAAATAAATTAATACAGTACAAATGTTATTTTAAGGGATCCCTTCTCTCATGATAAAATTGGAATGTAAGCTGAGATGGTTCAGCAAGTACCCTTGCTTAAATGGTAAAATGAACAGTATGGCTACACTGTGTACCATGTTTGAATCTCAGAGTAGCTTTAGCTTGGAAGTGAGACAAAATAGATCTGCTGGGTGAAATTGCTCTGCTGTAAGGAGGAAAAGGAATTAAGACTCTTAACTGGAAAGAAATTAATTGCCAGATTTGGTCATGTGCAGGTACCATCTGTTTTAAATTTAAAAGAAAAGAAAAAATCAAAGTAGATGATAACCCCTGCAGAAAGAGATAGACTTGTGCTGTGTCCTGGGGATACCAAAACTGAAAATTAAATGAGAGCAGCCAAGATCAGTGCATGTAAGATTTGTAATATGAGGGAGAGCGGCCAGTCTACAAAGCTCTCAGAATGGGACTTGGTGTGCGCTACAAGTGTGACTCTGGCCTCATGCAGATCTGAGTGAGCTTCATCAGTCACCCATCTCTGACAGTGATGTACAAGAGCACTTGGATCCATGACCCTTTCTTAGGTGTAGTAAGGGATAATTGCAAAGGAGCAAAAAGTTAAAATCTAATTACCTAATTTTGAAAAGCTAAAGATGTTGGGGGAGTAGATGGCCAAAACGAAAAGCAGTGTATGCAGCTCACTAAGAGAAAGAACTTCTATCCTTTCCCATTGTTTCAAGTGCAGAAGGGTTTCTGAAAATGCTTAGAATAATTTTTGCCAAGAGACAGTCTGTAGTACTCTTTGTGTAAAAGAGATTTTATTACAAAGACACGAGACATAAAAACTTGGCCCTGGAAAAAGAGCTCATTGCTTTATAGTAATGCCAGGACACTGTTTAACTCTGAAATAAATACTTCTGGGCTTCTCATTTGATTCTGGGAAATTATGGGAATAGATTTCAAGACAATACTGTAGCTACTTCAGAATTCCTTTTCTGTGTTTAAAATAAGCTGATCTTTCCCTTTTCAGGTTTGTATCCTTATACAGAGGACCATGTCATACATACAAAGTACAAAGACTCAGTGAGTCAACATCATACAAATTTTGTATTCAGGCATGTAATGAAGCTGGTGAAGGTCCCCTTTCCCAAGAATATGTTTTCACTACTCCTAAATCTGTTCCAGCTGCCTTGAAAGGTGAAAGTGCTGCTTTTTTCATTTAGGGGATGGGGAAATGGCAAGGGGTTTTAGGTATTGTGTTGTATTTGGGGTATTTAGAATGCTAAGCCCTTTTCTAAGTGCAGATAGCGATAGTAAGGGCATGCTGCTTTTATGTAGTTGCCTAAAGCCTAAAATTTTTGCTCCAAAAATGGGAGACTTAGGGTTTATGCATTCTTTGACATAAGGTTTGTACCCAGAATGCTTGCTTACTGGGAGAGAGTGACCAGGCTGTTACAGTAATTTGAGGTGAAAATTCTTCCTAGCATGCTTAAAATAATTATAAGCATAGCAGCTTTTTTTTTTTTTTTTTTGCAATATAATGCACACTTGCAGTCACCAAATTTTACTTGCTTTCTCTTGCATGATACTAAACTAGCAATAGAGACCTATGTGAATTGTTAGTTGTTGTTCCAGAAAACATTGTAGGAAGAATATATTTGAACCTGAATCTCTTGCTTCTCCGAGACAAAATTGCAGATAGAATACAGAATTTTACAAGGCATTAGAATGTAATGTTAAGTGATGGGGAAAGCAGAGCTAGTTGTCACTTTCATGTTTTCTTCCTTCAGCACCGAGGATAGAGAGAGTAAACGATCACACTTGTGAAATCACGTGGGAGGTTCTGCAGCCCATGAAGGGTGATCCAATTATCTACTGTCTTCAGGTCATGGTGGGAAAAGACTCGGAGTTCAAACAGGTATGTTGTGTTTAAGGTATCGTATTTTTCTTCAATTACTATTTGTGATAACTAGTTTAGATTAAAGATTATTGTGTTCCAGTCACCATGATAACTTTTTGTTACTAAATAATATCAGGTAGTATCTCCTAAAACCATTGTCACAGAGAAAAGAGATTTAAGTAATACAAATACTTCAGTAAGCTGCAGCCTCTCTGGGTTACACTGATGTTTACTAAATACAATTGGACACCTCAAGTGGTGAGGAAATTGTCCACTAATGGGAAGAACTGACAGAAAGAAAACATCCACCCAATGGTACAGAATTGAGACTTAGGAGAAAAAGAAAAAAAGGGTTCTCTTTGCACTAAGAGCTGTTTGAAGGCAGTAAACAATTTTATAAAAGCTTTGATGTTGTCAGAGTCATACTCTGTACAGAGAACTGCAGATAGGAAAGACCTCATACTTACACAGTGTAGACACTCAGGTGTACGGAAACTTTTTTTATATAATTCAGTGACTAGTTTTTTACCATAGAACCATTGCAGTAGTAGGACATGCTGTAACTACAAAGGTCAAGCAGTTGAGAGTATGTTCTAATTTCGGGTTTGATTATTCAGAGATGGAGTTTGAAATGCCAGGCTACAAATTAGTCTGCATTTAAAAGAGGGATGTGTAGTGCTAATTTTGGTTCCCTATGAACTGCTTGATAATTGACATGAAATTAGGCTTGGAAACTCTGCTTCACACTATCAAGCAAGCAGGTTTCCTTCCAGCAAGGAAACAATTAATTCTGATATATTATAATTTTGTTATAGGTCAATATTAAATAGTTTTGCCTGTGCTTTAGTAGATTATAGGCCTTAATATTTTAATAATTCATAACTCCTAGTGTAGTATTATGTTTGTTATGTCCATTTGTTAAATTTTTCAGTAAAAGATGAACCATAATCCAAGGTGTTTGTTACCCTACCCTGTGAATATTCTTTATTTTAACTTTAAAATCATAAATGTAATATTAAGTATGTAAGTAAGGCGTGGTCAGTGTTGCTTCTGCACATAGGGTCAAGTCGTGCTTTGATTAGCAATGTCCATTGCCAAATTAAGACAAGAAAATAAAGGTTACACTTTAAGCCTGGAAATAACAAAGTAGACTGAAGTGGATAATTCCTTTTGCCTCTCCACAACAGTTTAACACAGTAAATTCAAATAAAATGAGAAGACTAGTTTGCAGAAATTAAAATTGCAATAGTCAAGAAGTACACACCATGGAAACAGCCTTTAAGATACTTAGACATGATGGTGACAATTTTCTTTGACATGGACAAAAAATAAACTGCCTGGAAGGCCACTCCAAGCTGTTTACTCCCATTTTCCTGCCAAAACTTCACTCTCCTCTCCTTCTCCCTTATCCATCAGCTGAGTTGCTCATGTCGTTGCTCCCTATGTGCTTCAGACAAAATAAGTTTGTAATGCGGCGTTTGAGCTATATACATCAGTCAAGCTCTTAAAGGGGTTAGGAAGCAACTGTATAAAACAAACTTGAGGGGCAGGCAACTTCTTGGCAAAGCACTGGGGACAAGCAGCTGAGGACAGTAACCCTTGGCAGCTGGCATAGCTGTAGCTGGAGTAGGATGTGTGTCTGTGGCCTGTTTGCTCACTACCAAATGCATGATGCATATCAGCAGAATTTTGAGGAAGCTGCACTTCCAGTGACCTACCCTGTCTCAGTGTGGGAACAATTTATTGAGAGAAAGAAAAGTCACCAGGTTGTAAATTCCAAAAGAATTTGTCAGAGGGATTTCTGAGTCCATGAGTAGCTACCACAGGCACAGCAACAGCTCTTCAAACAACAGAATCAGAAGAGATTGCCTGCTTCTTTCATTGAGTGGTTGGTAGCTTGCATTTGTGAAATACTGTTTAACAGTATGATAACTGTATGGAAAACTTCTGCATGACATGATACTTCTATATCCTGATACTGGTTAAATAAAGCAAATCCAGGTGACAGGTAGGGGGAGGTGAAGGGGTTTAAAGAGAGAAATCAAATTGGACTGTGCTACCCACATAATAGCTCAGTTCCTATTGATACACCTACAAACACAACATTGCACCCATCTATGATTTCTGTGGCTTTTACAAGACCTTTACATAGCTGCAAATTAAGTAATTTGAGAAACCAGCATTTAGATTTCACGTTAACCCGCCAACTGAGAGACCCTTGGAGAACAGCCTAAGAAGTCATCTGTGTCTTGGGATCTGATTAAATTAAGAATTAGAGAGGTCTCCTTGCGACTTTCCTGATACAATGTTTACTGCGATAAATTATAATATTTTAAACACACAGTATCTTAACTACAACAAAGTATGTTGGATTGGATTAGACTGAATGTAGAAGCTTGATACAGAGTTAAATTACCTCAAATCCTGTGATTGGATAATGTATATTACATCCCATGGTATAGTATTTATGTTGTAAGTGGTCACTAAAACATAGGTCCCTATTAACATAGGGGCTTCTGACAGTTTATTTGGCGTGTACTCGTGTTGTGGTTTAACCCCAGCCAGCAAAAGCACCACACAGCCACTCACTCACTGCTCCCCACAGGGGAGGCAAATCAGAAGAACAAAAGTGAGAAAGCTCATGGGTTGAGATAAAGACAGTTTAATAGGACAGCAAAGGGAGAAATAATAATAAAAGAATATACAAACCGAGTGACGCACAATGCAGTTGCTCACCACCCGCTGACCAACACCCTGCCAGTCTCAAGCAGCAATCGCAGCTTCCCAGCCAACTCCCCGCAGTTTACATACTGAGCATGATGTCTTATGGTATGGAATATCCCTGTGGCCAGTTTGGGACAGCTGTCCTGGCTGTGCTCCCTCCCAGCTTCTTGTGCACCTCCTCGCTGGCAGGGCATGGGAAGCTAGAAAGTCCTTGAGTAAGCACTACTTAGCAACAACTAAAACATCTGTGTGTTATCAACATTATTTTAATATTAAATACAAAACACAGCACTATACCAGCTACTAGGAAGAAAAATTAACTCTATTCCAAAATTGAAATCAGGACAACTCATCATGGTGTAAAAGCACTTGTTCTTTTGCTGTTTTACCAAAAGGACTGGAGACTTTATCTGGCGTTTAAATTGCATTTGTGAACCTTTTGTCCATTTTTCTTTGCATGGGTGAAAACACTGGTGAGGAGTCATACTTTTTACTTATCTTCACAATAAAAAAACGCATACTCAAATATATATATGCGTGTGTGTATGTAGAGCATTTTTACTTGATGTATCTTTTTTTTTTTTCTTTATTGACAGATTTATAAGGGTCCGGACTGGTCGTTCCGATACACAGGCCTGCAGCCGAACTGCGAATATCGTTTCCGCGCATGTGCCATCCGACAGTGCCAAGAGACAGTCAGTCATCAGGACCTGATTGGCCCCTACAGCACACCAGTGCTATTCATCTCTCAGAGGACTGAACCACCGGCAAGCACCAACAAGGACAGTGTGCAAACCACAAGGACACAATGGTCACAGAGCGACCAAGTGTGTGCTGCTGTCATCCTTGCACTTTTTGCTATCTTTTCCATTCTGATTGCTGTTATAATTCAGTACTTTGTAATAAAGTGAAGAAAAAAAGATTTATTTTAGAATGCTGCCCATTACATTTTACTTTCTCATAATCTAAAAGTAATTCTGTTCTCTTGCTTTTACAAAACCAGGCATTTAGCACCGGCATTGGGACTGATGCAAACCTTTTCAGCCACTTTATGATGCTTACTGGTAGGTATAGGCTGACACACGTTACTAGAATGCAAGCCACAGAAATACAATCTTTTCTGTAATATGCCTTCTTGCAGTACAAACTCTCTATGGGGCAGGCAAGCAGTGTTTCATGAAAAGGGTTTGACCAGTAAACATGAGCATAAAAAATGGTTTCCTGGCCCACACTTTTAAGGGTTGCTACCATAACAGGGAAGAATGTGTAGATCGCATTTAAAACTTACACTAACAAACTTGTGCTGTATACAATATTAATCTGATGCTGTGAAAGCAATTTAGCGCTGTATTTCTACCTCCTCATTTGTCTTAATTATTTGGGAAGCAGGATTTATGCTGAAAAACAGAAGGGGCTTTTCTCAGGCAGCAAATAATGAACTGGATGGAAGAGTATGCATGAAGGAAGCTTCTTATCTGATAAATGTGGAGTTCTTCACTGCAAGTAGATGTTTTCGAAAGACTACAAAGGGATGGCACAAGTGGTTTATCTTGCCCCCAGGATTTGATGTTTACTTACAAAAATGCCTCTTTTACTCCTTATGAATATTGAAGGGAGAGTGTGAAAGAACTTAGTAGACTTATTATTTAAATTAAAAAACACATTTCTGAAGTTGACCTTTGGTCGGATGCAGTTTATACAGATGTCTGTGCCCTCTGATTTTGGCTAGTTAATAGATTTTTGAGATAAAATTCATTATTGAATTTTTGCTGTTTCCCCAACATTTACTTGCCATATCCACCAGAATCAAGCACTGCCATTTTGTTTTGTTTTGTTTTCTTTCTTCCTTCCTTTCTTTCTTTGGGGCACCAAATCAGAAGACGAAGTGTAGTAATTTGCACCAGAAAACTTAAAGCTGCTTTTTTCTTGAGATCCTAATGTTTAATGTAATGTCTCTTTGGACACTGTACCAAATTGTTGAATGCATGTAGTTAATGTTGCATTAGAGCACTTTGCAATTGCATAACTCATCAATGTTTTGTGAGCTTGCATTTGTGAGTTCTTGAATGACCAGACTGAATTTTATCAAATATCCCATTGAACATCTTGCTAGATGTCAATGATTGCCAGTGACACAAAGCTTGTAGTGAAACTATCTTTTAAAAACACAAAAAAAATCCTTGTCTCATCACACTTATGTTATTTGTTATACACGTTGTAATTAGCTATTTTTAATTTATTTGAGTTACAAGATAGTGGATCATTAATGACTTCTAGTTGTGTTCAGTTTAGCATTTTTAATGGTATTAAACACTTCTGTCAGTCTTAATAAAAAAAAGGAACCTCTGTCTTGTGCTTTGAAGATCTCTGAAGAATTTCTCTTATATTAGAATGGGCATGTATTGTAATTGTTTATACGTCCAATGATCTGTGCTGTAGAATAATGTTGCTGAGTTTCGGTTTTGGTTTGTTTTTTTTTAATGGCGAAGAACTTGGCCTCCACGTGGCAAGAACGATCTGTCTTTAAAATGTACTGTATGTTTACATTTTATTTCGAATTTGTCATTTGTACGTATAGGCTGATACCTTCCCACAGGATACCGCGATAACTGATGTTTTCTAGAACCTTCTTAAAAGTGCCATGTTTGGCAGTGCAAATGAGGTTGCGTGTAACAGCCCAGAGATTTCTTACGGTTGAATGTCTAAAATGGTAAGATTTGTTACTACAGTTAATCTGCAGTGACCTATGTTTTTCATAGTAAAATTCAAATGAGCTCCTATTTTTGATAGTCATTTAATAGTGTATTTGCCATTTTAGCCTCAGTGCGTATTACTGCATTGAAGACAGTTTTTAATGTAATCTTAATTTTACCTCATATACTGTACATTCCAAAAATAAATAATAGGGAAAAAAAAAATAAAAACTCTAAACTTTTTAAAACGCTATAGATACACTACCAAACATATCACTTTACAATTGTACAACATCAGGCTCCATGAAGATGAACCTGTATAGTCTGATAGAAAATACATAAACTATGTAGCAAAGTATCTTTAAAAATCTGTGGAAAATAAAAGTATCATTCTTTTTTGTGGTGGTTCGTCTGTCCTGTTGGCATGTAGGGCCACCACTGAACTGTGGTTTCTGTCCCGGCGCTGCTGCCGGCCTTGTCCTGAGGCAGGCGGGCAGGGGACCGCAGGTGCCCCTCTCCCCTCAGGCAGGGTGGGCGCTACCGGTGGGAGCCGGGCGGACCCTTCAACCTCTGGCACTGCCGGCCCTGGGTCTTGGGGGAGGG